GGAGGGGTGCTCCGGCGAAGGAGCCCCTCGCCCTGAGAAGCCCCTGCCTGAGGAGAGGGACGTGCAGGAAAAAAGTGAGAAGCAGGGAGAAATAGGGGCTTTGCTCCGAGGGTGGGGGGAGGCCCCCAGCAGGGAGCGGAGGATGTGGCTCCCATTGCCCAGTTCCCGGTGCTTGGACACGCATCCGCTCGCCATGAACAGCTACGTGGCAGAAACGCTCCCCTCCTGCCACCAGTTCCTCCTCCGGACAAGACCCCAGTCGCTGGCTGCTGGCTCAGGTCTAACAAGAGACCCATGAAGTCTCATCTACACGGGAAGGATCAGAAGAAACACGCCTCCCCCCAGCCTCTCTGGTTTTGCAAAAGGGGGGAAAGCGTTTGAAGCAGCTGGGATCTCTTCCAGCCGAGGGGGATGAGCAGCGGGTTGAGAGTCCGACATCTTTTCCCCACCCCGGCTTCAAAGTTTTTTGAAAGCAACGGGAGAGCACAGCACAGATCTGTCAGCAGGCAAACAGACACGTGGGCTTGTCACTCTGTCCCAATTAATGCCGTTTTCCATTTATGAGGATCCTTCAGTCTCTGAGGAACGTAAAGGCACTGAGCGGCTCTACGCATTGTTTGGCATCTGCCCTAATCCCGACAGCGCGTTGCAAAGGCAGCCTTTGTGAGAGGTCCCAGGTTGTCGCAGACAGAGGAGGGCTCATGGCGCGGGAGAAGACCTTGCGGCTGGAGGAGATGAAGTTTTTCAAGGAGAAACCGAAAGACGGGGAGAGAGCTCAGGCCCTTTTTTTAATCAATCGTTCTAGTCACTGCTTGTTTCGCAGAAACTTATTTTAGGCTGTGGCGGTGGGATTTGCCTCCCGCTGCTACACCCAGGGGGGAAAGAAACAGCCCTACTTGTTTGCGAATCTGCTCAGTCCATTCAGCTGACATCAGAGAACGCTCTTCACTGCCCTTAAAAAAGGGAAACGGGGTAAAACCTGGCAGCGCTCACCGTTTCCCCGGCTGAGGCGGGCGCAGACCGTCGCTAGTCAGAAAGCGTGCAACTGTTAACCTTCCCTCTCCGACTCTTGCGAGAAGGTAGCTTGACCCGAAACAAGAAACACGACGGCTAAAGAAAAACAATCAGGTGAAATAATCAGCGTTGCTTTTGCCGTCGTTTTCGGTCCGTCGCTCGTTGATCCTCCTCTCTGAAGCAACGTCTCCCGTTCCGTATGTGCCTCCCGAGATCACCACCCCTTTTCTTAGAAAGCCGTTCTCCAGCGGAATATTTGGCTTTTTAAGAGTCAGACGCTCCGGCAAACCCGTGGGGTTTTTGGTTTTTTTTTTTTGTTTTTATTCCTTAGGACCCAGATTTTGGATGTTTTAACTCCCGTCTTAGCATCTCGCTCCTTTTCCTGGCTGTGCCCGCCCGGAGCGCGGCGAGGACTTACCCCCCACCCCCCCACACGCCCCCCCGTGAAGTTTGGCATGGCGAATTCTCTTTTTGGAAAGCCTGAAACACCCTCCGGCAC